ACTTTAATCTGACTTAATTTTACAAATTTGGACCTATAACATAATAACGATATATGGGCATTTTTCTACGACAGCTAGAGAAGTTGGGAAATGTGTCAAATTGGAGATTTCTTCTATTTCAAGAGGAAAAATATGTTTTTAATTGTATACAGAAGTTACTTAGAAACACAACCAAACATCTATTCATTCAAAATTTATTTAGTGAATTTGGTATACAAGTTAAATATGTCATAACTGAATCGAAAGCGAAATTTTCCATAGTTTCTTATAAGATGTGTTGTGAATCGCATTGGTGAATGATGACAACCAAGAAATATAATTTTAACTACTACACCGTGGCATTGATAGATACATATACATAATGATTAATGAAAAGAGAAAAACCACATATTTCTTCTTCTAGACTACCAACTACCTCCTAATCAAACCCTCAAGCCATCAACTTTTTGGAGGAAGAAACTCGAAAAATTCATTTGGAGTAATTTTATCCTCCTTAATAGTAACGTCAAGGGATTTCTGGTCATTGCTACAACTTGGAAACAGCTCAAGGGTTAGATTTTCTTTACCTTCATTTTCAAGAATATTGATTAAATCATCATTCTTGGAAGGCAATAATGACATGCTGAGTTTTAGGGAACCAAAGGGCTTCGAATTTTCCTTTGTAGTAAATATTTTGTTGGGAGGCATGAAAGAATACAAGTCCAGTGGGCAGGTTTCTTGATTCTCTGTTGTTGTCTGGTGCAATTCTGTCGGATGCATTGATACAGAATCCTGAAAAATAAGAATAAATAGAAAGGTGGGTGAATTTCACACTATGCCCCAGAAATCGTGACTTTTTACATGTAACAGCAGCCCCTATACAACGTATAGAATGCAGCTTTAGAGCCAAATTCTTTTTCCATCATACAAAAGCTGTCTCTCTTTGGGTACACTGTTTTAAACTTGATATCTTATAATTAGCTCATAATATTATTTCTATATCTTGTAAGAGCATTTAGTTAGCTAAGGCAAAAAGTGAAATAAAAACTTATATAGACCTGTGAAAGCGTGCTGCAGTTTGAGGGGGCAGCCAACTTCTTAGCATGTTCGATTTCCAAATCTCTTCTGCTGAATCCTACAAATCAAGATCATAATTTTAGTTCACATATAACATTTCTCTCTTTTCTTTTATTTCTCTTTCTCTAGCAGTGCAAAACACAAAACCTTAATGTCGAAATAAAAAATAAGAAACTGTTGAACATTACACGAATTTCGGTTTTCTATGATATCCAATAGCGGTGGCCGGTGAATGCTTAAAAAATTCGCTGTACAATGATCAACACGCTTTTATGTAATTTAAGATGATCGCCATTCACCAAATATAGTCTCCAATATATCACAATCATTTTTGAATCAGAATAACGCAATTTATATACCTGTTCGTTTTGCTTCAAGAGTCTCAAGTCCGTATATCTTTGCTCTAGATAATGATTCTAGATGACGATGTTTTTTCTGCCTTTCTCTTGCTTTGTGGTTTTGAAACCAATAGAACACATTCTTCTCTTCAATCCTACCAAATCGATGAAGTTTTGTAGCAATTTGCTGGATTTGTTCGGCCGATGGTGTTCTTATACCACGTCTATAAATTTCTTCAAGTGCCTGCAATTGCTGAGATGTTGGATTCCATCTTGACCTAATTACTGCAGTCTCTGTGCTGGTGTCTTTCTTCACTTGGATATCAGTCACTGCCGCCACAAGTCAGATATGCATAAAGCTTGTCAAAAATATCAATTCATAAAGAAAAACAGTAGTAGCATAATCAAGAAAAATATGATCATACTCAAATGACGGTTCCTTCCAAAGATAATAGGGTTGTGAAAGCAACATGAACAAGGGATTGGTGACGTTGGAGTGCAAATCGACGTCGGTGGGAGTGGCCAAGGCTTCGGATTATGAGAGGGATCAGATATCTTCGACTCTTTCCCACGGTCATTGCACTCTAACTTCCACATTCTACACTATCAGTAGTGTTCTAGCTGTTTGACTGGTAACTACTAATAGTTGCCCGAGTCCAAATTAACCTTTATTCCCCATAAATCCACTCGTCTACGTGAATCCTCTTTCAAGTGAAGAGTATCGATACAGTGAGTTTAATGAATGCACAGTAAGGTTATCTGCATTTAGTGAATGCTCTGTATATGTGTGTGAACTATCGAGTGGCTGGGAAATATGCTAAAGTGAATTCTCCATGCCCAAGAAACAGTAGAAATTCTGAATTGAAGAGACAAAAGACTTGACGTGGTAGAAAAATGAGAGGGTGAACTAGCAGCATGTTTAGCAGGTTGACCACACCTAGACGCCCAAAGAGAGAGGGAAAGAACAAGACAGAGGCAAAGTTACAAAAGGTGAAGGAATTGAAATGAAGAAGAAGGCGTGAATTTTTGGGAGAAGGAAAACTAAAAGCGACGTGACAATGATGAGATTATGAGAAGAGTGTCATTAGATTTCAATGTCTTGTCTCTCTTCCGCATTAACATTGTTTGTCCCCCTTCTTTCCATTTACCAGTCGGCCTGCTTCTGTCCTGTCTCTTCCACACTGCTTCTCATTCCGTTCTGCCCCACTCCCACACCCACCCCCGGGCTTCCCTCACTCCCTCACTTAAAGGACCGTCAATGAATTGAATTTTGATCCGAATTCGATAAAATTAATGA